ACATAGACATGGTAGCCAAACAACAAATCATACAAAGAAACATAAAAATTACTAAATTTGGTGTGAGAAAGATAGAACTTGATGAATTCCGGCCTCCACAGCTTTGTCGTGGCTTTTTCCCCCTTCCAAATATGTTAGATGCCCTAAAAGAGGCGTTTTTAGCTTATATATTGCGTACAAAAGTCGTGGGCTAAAGTTCTCCTATTCCTAATCCGACTTGGCTACAGGGATTGATGCTGGGGTGGATGCGTCGCATCCACCTCGTCCTCCACTTCTCAGCTTCGCATGCTAGGGTAGATGCGTTGCATCCACCCTTTGTTCCTCCTTCTCAGCTTTGCCCAGGTGCGGATGCTATGGGCCAACTTCACTGCTAAGGGTGCACGAAATCCAACCCATCTTCCTCTACCTAGATCACCTTTTTTTCATATTTTTGTACTCCAAACACCCTAATTCATCACACACAACTCAATTAGTCATAAAACCAATAATTAAACCATGTTGGGCATTTTAAAGATCAAATAGCATCAAAAAACGGTTAAAACATGGGTAAAGTAACATCAACACATATCGAAATATGCCCAACATCAATTATATATTTATAATATGTTATATTGCATCGTATTGTACTGTATTGATTTGATGAATACAAATTTTGAATAGATTATTCGTTTGTTGTTATTTCATGATGTCATGCACCGGCAATATGAAAAATAAATTTATAATATTACAAAAATAAGGGTACGGCATACAATTATTATATAAAAATATAGGGTAAAAAATAAAATATAATTATTTAATAAAAAAGAAGGGCAAGATGAGAAAAAAAAAGGTAGCGGCATGACCACACCGAATCAGTTTGTTACGTAAAGTGATATTTTTTATCATTACGTAATGATAGATTTAAGTACCGCACGTCAAGATAAATATTATACTTAAAGTAAAAATATGCTATAATATAATAGGTAACAACTATCCAAACAAGCAGTAAAGTGACATACAATATGAGGTAACTAATTTAATAACCTAGAAAATAAAGTATATGATCTGTTCCGATAAATAAAAATACATTGATAGTATAAAATCCATGCATATAGGATCAATCCTATTTCTCATTGAGAGCCTTTTTGCAACAACTGGTCTATGGACTCTTACCTTTTTTTCTACTTTTTCCCATTCTTTGGCCTTTGGTTATTGTCGTTCTTTCTATCAGTTTCTCTTTTATTTTTCACTTTAGATGCATTAAAAAATTTGAATGGTGAATTGATGATCTCGACTACGTGGATAAGTGGTGTCGGATTTATTTGATCTATATGAACTTTTTTTTTGGGGAGGGGGTTCAAAACATTTTAATGATTTAAGATAAAAGGTCTTTTTTCATATTTACTCTTAATATTGTAATTAGTAGAGTGGTGCCATTAATCAAGTGACGTTTAAGTAGAGAAAAACGTATTATGATTAGTATAATTAAGACTATCAAATATCTTTTTAAAGGGTGTGGGAAAAACTTTAAAANGGCATTTTGTCATCGTACTTTCTTTTTTTCGTCCGTACTATTTTCTTAATAGAACACTAATCATGTCATATTCTTCAACAACTTTCACATTATTAAAGTACTTAATAATATTCAGTTATGTAGTTATTTTTTATCAGATTTCAAATAATATGCATGATTTATCATGTAATATTTGGTTTTTCAAAGAAAGGAAGTCCAGATTCATGTACTGAATCTAATGCAGAACTAAAGTAAAATGAACGAATCTTGTGACAAATATTTCGTAGTGAGTGAAAAGCTGTAAAAATCTGTTTCTATGCTTTCAAAAACTCTTTTATATCTGATATTGTCATCTATTTTCCAGACAATAATATTTTCTTCAATAAATCGATAAACTCTATGTTCTTCAATTAATTAATCAGGTTCAGCGTATTCGTTTTCTTATCTTCAAAGTTTTCTTTAATAAAGAAAAATGAGAATATTAGTTAATTAAAATGATTCTCAATGATACGTAACCAAATCCAAAATATAATTGTTAATGCATGAAAGTTCTAATATTCACATCTATAAAATAATGTGTATTAAACATTGTCAAAGCAAGCATATAAACTAGAATCAAATCTCTCTCTAAACCACAAAACTCAAAAGCTAGCAAATACAACTTGATATTTTTATTTTAATAATTGGCTTTGTTAAAGATGAAAGATTGTGAATTAGCTTTGAAAACTGAAAATGTCAAAAGATCATCACACGTGTTTTTGTCTAAACAAGATTCTTAAGTGGCATCTTAGACTAAGTCAATTTCTGTTAAAAGTCATGTATTTTCTTGGAAACTACATATAGTTAAGAGTATAACATGTTCTCTCACGATCTTCTTAAATACATGAATTTTACTTCTAAATTTTCTTCTCACAATTGTCAATGATAGCTTAATTTCTCCGAAACCAAAGTAATTATATACGAAGTTACGAATTACAGCTATAAAAGATAATAATTCTCATCTCAAAAAGTAAGCAACTAAAAGAAGATACAAAATGCTTTTCTCTTTTGGAGTGGTTGAAGCATATACAAATCTATATTTTCTTTTGGAGTGGTTGAAGCATATACAAATCTATAATATAGAGTGAGTGAGTTTAGAATTAGTATATTTTATAGATTCACACATTTTAATTCTTTTGTATATACGTATATATAATTCGATCGCAATTAGTTCGGTTGAATATATACGAAAACAAGAATTACTGCTATATTTTAATCACCATCTCAAAAGTAAACAACTTAAAAATGTAAAATACTTCTTTTTCTTAAGAGCGGTTGAAGTAGACACGAATCCAAGATCTAGAGTTGGTGGCACAATGACGATAACCTATAGGTCAATTGCAGGGCCGAATTTATAGGCAAATACATGAGGCACGTGAACTTATGGTCTTTCCGTCAAATTATATATTTTATGTACATATTTTTTAAAATTGGTCTAATATTATTTGTTGGCAGCCTCACACCCATGCCCCGAAGAGGTTAAATAGTGCACTTGGTTGAATGTTCTGCTTAATACTTCCTTTTTTCTCCTTTTTTTTTTAGTGATGCACCCATGTTATAAAAATCCTAGATCCGCCTATGGTCAGCTGTTCGAGCCGTGAAAGCAGCTAGTAATACTTGCATTAAGGATAGATAACGTGAATGCGGAATACTTTGTGCACCAGACTGTCCTTTAATGCATACATAGTTATTTGAGACGAAAATAATGAATTCACTTGTATCTAAAGAACTCGCCCCAAAATTAGCCAAGAAAAATTGGAGAAGATGAGATTTATGGTAGGTGTATGTATGTACATGAAAGTGCAGGAGACAACCTTATCTGAGACAAGGAATGCACCATGTTTAACAGGCAGTAAGATGCTTGTACGGTATGTTTGTCCACTCCATGTTTTGTATTTTACTTACTTTATTTTCATTTTTCTTCTTTTTGTTGGTACATGTAACCATAGGAAGATAAAGGAAGAATATGGAATAATATTTCAGTAGCATATACTCTAGCTTCTTAAAAAAAATGAAGCTTTTATTTTCAAGAAAATATTACTGAGGTTGACACTACAATTGTAACCTTCCAAACTTTAATTAGCTTCCACGATCCTTCATATGGCTGTATTTATTGTACTATTTAATTAATTAATTTTCTAAAAAAAATTATTCTTATTTTATCTCTAAGGAAAAGGCATTTGAACGATTATTATTATTGTAAAATGAGATCATTAAAAAAAATAAACACTATTCCTTTTCCTGATTCCGCTGTAATAGATAAAAATAAAAAGAAAGGAGGAATGCCGAGTTCTACGGTGAATTTTTGGTACGGTTTGCCCAATTGGACTCATATTAGATTGGTGGTTAATTCTTCAAAAAGAATCTTTACATAAATAGCCAGACCAGTTCATTGTTTATTTTTTTCTAGCCGCTTATATATAAATTATAAATTAATTATATATGAGTATATACATATTATTTATAAATTATACATATACTATACATTTACCGATTAATTTTTAATTTGAGTAATTGAATGTACAACTATATATTATTTTTAATGACCCATCGGTACTGGAAGTTAACTGGTGATAAAAGGTTCCATGAAACAAACTTAGTACACATCTCAAGTTTCCAGACCACACATCACAAAATAATTCTAATCTTTATTCTTTATAAATTTTATCCGGTAAAATCATTGTATAATTTGTGTGTATATATTATATTGTTTATACACTTATTATAAATCAACGATGGTTATAAACTTCTACAACCAGACGGGTAAATAATGTTAGAAGAATTAACCTAAATAGCTACTCACCCAACCGTTAAACTAAAAATAGCTTGTTAAATAATCTATGCATAATATATTTTGTGTATACTTAATGTATAATTCATGTATACCGATTAGAAAAAATAAACAGTGAATCCTAAGGCTAGTTCTGTAGATTCCAAAATGTTAAGATTCGAGTGAAGAACACAAATAGCCCTCAAAATGGATGGTCTTTAATTTTTGTCCGTGCTTGCCCATGGCCAGAATTTCAAGTTTAACAAGTACTGCTCTCGCTTATCTCATGACTCATGAGCAATACTTTTAGCTTTTGACCTTGAATTTTTATCCCATGGTCAAAAGTTAAACATCACCCAAAATGTGTCATTTCTGTAATTTTTTGAAGATCCCCCTTACATGAATAGGGACCATGTCCACAATAAAGGCCCAAATATTATTAAGATAAAAGGATCCATTTTCACATAGCATCCGGCCTATTTAGTGCAAAAAAATCTTCGTTATCCCCTCCTAGCAAAAAACACAGTTTTGTGTGTGTGTATGTGCACCAGTAAAGAAAATGGCACTTGCTATATCCCTTTCACATGCAACAGCTTCTTCCTTTAATGGTGAAGTTAAATTTTTATCTTCAGCTTCTCAACTCAAGGGAAAGTATCCTTTTAACCTCCCTAGTAAGTCATTTTTTTTATTTAGACATTCAGTTTATGAAACTATGATATTAAAAGCACTTATCTGTTTGATTATTTTTGGTGGATTTTGGTATTACTTTCTGTTGTATGTTTGATTTTCTTTATTGGGTTTGGTTCATTTGTAGGTAAAAATGCAAACTTTACTAAGCAGCTTGTAATTTACGCAAAAAGATTATCGGGTTTGGAGGAGGCCTTGAGGATTAGAAGGTATGTTGTGTTTATTTGGGTTTCACCATGTTGTTTTGCTCCTTTTGTTTTTCTCAAGAATTGAGATTGCATATTCTTTAAAAGCGATTAAATTTCCTTAATTGATTTTTAAGAAGTGTGCTGATGAGTGTAGCATATTGCTCTATTATGTAATTAGTAGCTAAGCCAGAAATTTTAACAAGGGATTCAAAAAATTCAAACTTGCGGCTTAAAGCAACTTTTGAACTACCTTTGNATATATATATGTATGTACAGAAAGGCGGACCCAGGATTTGAAAGTTGCGGTTGAACTTTTGCATTCAACCAAATCTGCTTTGTAATCACTATTTTTAAAGATATATACATGTATACACGGAATTTTTGCCGAACTCTTTGCGTGTCGGTGACCCTTCTAATTACTGCATAGGTCCGCCTCTGACAGAAACATTGTTTTCACCCTATTTGTGCAGTATGATTTTCCCACGAAGGGGATTCAGTTGAACCCCTTCATTGTCTATGGCTCTGTCACTATGTATATTTGTAAGATTTCCATTCATTCTTACCATATTGAATCTTGTGTGAAAGAAATTCTCCAAATGCATTGCTTGTGAAAAGGAATATTATTATCTTATTCTTCAATTTTTCTGCCGTTGTTTCCTTTGCTTTGGTTATCTTACTATTTTGGCTGTCAATACTTTCTTTTCTTCAGTATTTTCATCATAGCGTCTTTACTCTTGTATTTTTCAAACTTATTTTGAGAACACTTTTCTTGAGCTGAAGGTCTACTGGAAATAGCCTCTCTATCTCACATGAGGTAGGAGTAATATCTGCCTACACTCTACGCTTGTAGTGCTTGTGAATAGAGAGGATGAAGCAGTGCAAAATAATTTTGTTATCGAAGATATATAGAGAAATTTTGCTATAGAAGATTTAAAGAACTAGTCTTTTTCTGGTGTACATGATTTACTGTTAAATATCATGCAAATCTTTTTCTTTCCAACTTGCTAAAGTGAATATTATTCCTTTTGGTATGACTTTTTTTCCTCAGAATTTTATTGTTTTTTTTTCTCTGGCTTCTTGTTTGCCATGGTAGTTTGATGACTGTTTATTGGTGCCTCATGAGTAAAGGAGAAAAATAAGAAAATAATGACATGATTTATTAATATACAGGGAACGTGAGCTTCGTAGTTCTACCACCGCAAAAAGAAGGCCGCCTTTAAGGCGTGGAAGAGTATCACAACAGCTTCCCGTGCCTGATGACATACCTAAGCCTCCATATGTAGGTTCAAGAGAGTTACCAGATATCACAAGTGAATATCAGATCCACGATGTTGAAGGCTTAGCTCGCATGAGGGCTGCGTGTGAGTTGGCTGCACGTGTGGTTGACTATGCAGGAACTTTGGTTAGGGTGAGACTCTTTGATATCCATCTTAATTGATTGTTAAAGAGGTCGTTTCAACTGTACTTGTCTAGCACGTGTACAGCTGTAAGATAGGATAATTCACCCTTAACGTACTTGGAATGTTTCAACTCAAAGTTTATTTGTTAGCATTTCATTACTTTTGCCCGTTCTACTTCACTTATGGTAATTTTGTGTAATTGGCGTGTACGGTGAGAAAGCTTAAGTTTGCTTGAGAAACATGCAAAAGAAGGACATTTCAGATGCTATGCTCTGGATAATAGTATTGTCTTCAAAATGATCACAAGAGAAAATACAGGTAGATATGCAATTTCTAGTTTTAGAAAGCTTGGCTATAATACAGCTAACTAGTTTCTATCCCTTAAATCACGCTTTATATTACAATGGGGAACATGACCACCGTGTAGCACATAATTGGTAGATTCGACTCTCTTATCTAACTGAAGCAGCTGATAATGAAAAGGGCTTGGTGAAGGTGTCTATTATTAGGATAACTTACATCGTCCTTTTCAGCTAAAAATTAGTTTCTCTGTAACTTTCTTTTAGCACTTACGGAAATTTTTAGACAAGCTGCTTTAGCAAAATAAATTAGAGGAGCTGGTTATGAAGGAGTATGATCCTTGTATTTAGAAGTTATATGATGTTCAACTAAAATATGTTTGGAAAATCTGCATCTGGTGATAAATTGCTGACTTTGACAAAGATCAGACTAGGAATTTCTCATCCATGGATTCTCGTAAAATGTTTTCTCCAAAATGGGCATAGATCCGATGCAAAATGAAGAAATGGCATGAATATTAGATCTCTATCGGCAAGAGTTTTAGATCATATCTTATTTGTCTACGAGTTTTTAATTCCTTTGAAGCTTCTAACATGTAATTATATGTTCTTTTTTTTTCCTTGAATTTATCAGCCATCAGTAACGACAAATGAAATTGATAAAGCTGTGCACCAAATGATAATTGATGCTGGCGCTTATCCTTCCCCCTTAGGCTATGGTGGCTTTCCAAAGAGTGTATGCACATCTGTCAATGAATGTATGTGTCATGGAATACCTGACTCCCGCCAGCTACAGGTTGTTACTTTAAAATGCAATTCTCTTGCTTCAACTTTCGGTGTGTTTTTTCAGGACAAACCTTAATCTACTGTGCAGGATGGAGATATAATAAATATTGATGTGACAGTTTATCTGAATGTAAGTTGTCAACTCCCCTGTTATATATTGTAATAGAGTTACATATACTATCCTTTTTACTGCTAGCCAATCTATACTCTTACTTATTTAGAAGGACAATTGCTTTTCTTGTAAGTTCTGCTGTTGAATTCCATATGAACCTTGTAAGGATCTCGCTCGGTTCCTTTCTCAGGGTTATCATGGAGATACGTCAAAAACCTTTTTCTGTGGCGACGTGAGTGAATCCATAAAGCGCCTTGTAAAGGTAAAAAAATTAACTATGGAAGGAATGATAAATCTTTTGGTTCATTTAGCTTTATAAAGTTTGCTTCTGAATAGTTAAGCAGTTCACTGATATTTGGAACAGAGCTCCTGCTTATGCTAATACTTGTTAAGAATTAAGATCCAAAATCAGCAATTAACAATATAAATCGATATCACTTTGATCATGCGATGCTTGTGAAGTCATATCTGTGTTATCTTACCATGGCAGGTAACTGAGGAGTGCTTGGAAAGAGGCATTGCTGTTTGCAAAGATGGCGCTCTTTTTAGGAAGATAGGAAAGAGAATTAGGTACTTCTCTGAATATGGTATCATTGTGATCATTATTTGGTGATTGGGATATTTTGAAGCTTCAATGTTCTCTCTATTTACTAACTCCTATTCATGTCGAACTTTTCCTGTTAAGATATCAGTCCCTTGATTATACACTTGTGAAATTCGCTGCTTTTGCTGAAACTTTGAATAATCAATTTGGTGTTTAGAAAGTATTGCGGCGAAACAATTAATATTATTTCTTGTGATATGTACTTTGTCTTTTGTTGACATTCTTTCATGGACATGTAACATTCTGGAATTTTGTTTCAGTGAACATGCCGAAAAATTTGGTTACGGTGTTGTAGATCGTTTTGTTGGTCACGGTATTGGGACAGTATTTCACTCTGAGCCACTCATATATCATCACCGTAAGTCACTCTCATTTTCATTTACTTTGACATTTACTACCACAGTTCTGTTCATCCAGTAAAAGTTCTGAAAGTGCTGGAAGAGTTTTGTCGATTTAATACTTGATGCATAAAACTCAGAAAGGAATAGTCATTTACCTCTCCTAGCATCGTGTTTAGTCCCTGTACACATTTGCCCTTTAACTGTTCGACATGTCAAGAATTAGTGTTAAATTTTATACTATGGAGTACTTTTTAGGTCTCGAGTTCTAGGTAATGCATGCTAAAGCTATAACAAATTATATTTTGACTGACTGCAGAGTGTGACAAAAGATGTTCAAGTTGTATTATTGGTTACTAGTTTTCCTAATATAATCCGTTTTGGCAGGTAATGACAAGTCTGGCTCCATGGTTGAAGGGCAAACATTTACCATTGGTAAGTGCATTAGGATAATGATTATATCCTAAATTTGATTTTAGTGAGTGATCAAAGAGCTCTTCTATCTGGGAGAAAATCGGAGAACAAACTGCTATATTTTTGTCAAAAATAGAAAATGTGATTTATTGACATGATGGTTATAAAATCACCACAATGCCAAGCTGCTATACATTAGACATTTGTCTAGTGATACTTTTATCGATTAGACATTGATGTCTATGTCGACGGCCTTAACACAAAACTATAATTCGTGTAGTAATAGTTCTTCCAAAATTTTCTTTGGGGTAAATCCCAGCAGAAACCAACACACTAGGTGATTTCTTTCCATCTGTTCAAGCCTTGGTTGATAGTGTTACCCGGTGCTGAGGTAGCAAGTATCCTGTAGAACTAGATTGTGCACTTTTTTCTTTATTTGCTCCTCTCTATTTCTCATTCCAGTCTATATTTCCAATTTTTGCAAAATGTTTCTGAGTTCACTTGCAAGTTATAATAAGGAAAATAGACAAATCAGTTGTGAAAGTTGAACTTGATTGGTTACTTTACTTCCTTTCTAGACTAACTTTTCTATGCAATGTATACCTTTATCAGTAGTCTGTTTTTTGCACTTTCAGCAAGTGAAGAGAGTACTAATTTTGCATCACTCTGTTGTATTTATTGCAGAACCTATTCTTACATTGGGAAGCACAGAATGTGTAACATGGGAAGATAACTGGACAACTCTGACTGCTGATGGTAGCCCTGCTGCTCAGTTTGAACATACAATTTTGATTACAAAAACTGGTGCAGAAATTTTGACAACATATTAACTGTAGTTATAGGTTTATCATAATTCACTTGTGCAATCTTAGTGTATCCCTATCATAATTCTTTTAATTGGTGTTCCATAATAGGAAATACACTTGTATGTAGGTCAATATATGCGCGGAGGCAGGATTTCCGCTAAGGGGTTGAAAAAAAGAAGTTAAAAAATTAAAAGAGAATGTGGCAAATAGGAATTGAACCAGCAATCTAGCAAAGATTTTGGAACCCCTTGACCACTGAGCTATGCTGCTTTTGGGTTGTGTCAAGGAGATTCAAAATATTATAATATAGAGGTACAAATCTAATTTTGACTTATATGTTTCTGCAGGGGGGTCGGGTGAACCCTTTCTGCACTTGCATGCATGTAATCTTTGTGTTTTTTTATAGCCGAGGAATACCTGAGGGGCAATAGAGCACGGTTCAAAATTTCGTAGATAATAGTCTTGCTCTCTATCTTTCTCCACTTAAATACCAGAATTTTTGTTGGTGGCATGCTTCAAATAACAGCAAGGATCCAAGAGTTGTAGTTTTTCCTCTCTTTTTTCTTTTTTCTTTTTTCAAACTTTATGGTTAGGTAATTGAATCACACTGGTCAAAGGCAGCTGATGTCAGTACATGGTCACCCCATCTTTAGTTGGTTGTTGTGATTCTAGGATTTACGTCAATAAATTTAATATGGTGCGAGGGAAACCATAGAAGTGGATAAATTAATTATCTTTTATATTTTATTTTTGTACCCACTAGTAAGATCCTTTTTTTACGTTCAAGGGTGTCGCCTAGTGGTCAATAAACAAAAAACGTTAGGTGATTTTCTTTCATCTGTTCAAACTTCGGTAGTTGTGTTGGCGAGAGATAGCAAGTTCCTCGTGAGATTAGCCAAGATGCGAGCTGATCTGATACTCCATCATAAAAAAGAATAATTAAGATTTAGTTCTTGGTCTTCCTTGAGTACCATGCAATCACAATGGTAAGGTAAGTTTTTGCAGTGCAGTCAGGAGTATGGCTAGTGTTTTTGGTCTCGGTCGGAATTTTAACTTTGATCTCCTATGATTTTTACCTTTTTTATTTTTATTTACCGTCAGGTAACTCTCTTGGGTGCATCGCGATGGTACGTATAATTGTATCTATTAATAGCGGAGGCAAAATTTTCGCTAAGGGGTTCAAAAAAAAAAAGTAAAAAATAAAAATAAAAGAGAGTGGGAATTAAATTAGTGACATAACAAAGGTTTTAAATCCATTTGACTACTAAGCTATGTTTTTGGGCCGTGTCAAGGGGATTCAAAATATAATATATAGAGGTATAAACTGAATTTTGCCGTATATATATGCACATTATAATTTTTTTGCCAATGGGGTTCGGATGAACCACCTTTCGCCCCCCTTAAATTCGCCCCTAGATAGAAGTTGTCTTAGCATTCCCTTGTCACAAAGCTAAATATTTACCACTACCGCCAACAACAAATTCAGTATAATCCCACGAATGAGTCTGGAAAAGATAGTGTATGTAGACCGTACCCCTATCGTGAGAAGATAGAGAGGTAGTCTTCGATGAATCCTCAGCTCAACGAAAGATGAAAAGAAACAACCGTGGCACCAGCTAGAGCTAAATATTCACCATTAATTTTATTTGGATAAGTTAATATTAATAGAATTTTCCACGTCAGGTAAGTTTTTACCCTTCATTTTGGTAGGTATCCTTCGCTCTCTATCTATCTATCTCTCTCTCTATATATATATATAGAGAGAGAGAGAGAGATAGATAGATAGATAGAGAGCGAAGGTATATATATATAAGGATCGTCTTTCGATAGTGTTATCACTTTAACTAGAAGCATGTGAAGGGAACAGATGACATTTTTTCGATGATCAAACATGGTGAAAGAAAAGGCAAGAAAAGTTTTTGGATGCATGCATGCAAAAATAGAGTATAAAGATGGTTGGCTGCAGAAAGGATGAGTGATCAAAGAAAACTAAAAGCAGTTTAAAATCATAGTTAACAGGACAATATAGTGTAGTTTTCGAACGAACGAGTGTCCATTGACTCCCCTTTCTGATGAGTGGTTCCGCCACTGAGTGTAATGATAAAATTGTACAACAGTAAGCAAGAGTAGGGGTGTCAATGGATTCGGTTCGGCCGGTTATTTTATAAATTTTGTACCATATTAATTTTTCGGTTATTCTATTATGTATAACCAAAATTATACTTTTCGAAGCCGTCCCAATCATGTCGGTTTCTCTTCGGTATCGGTACGGTTCGGTAAATTTTCGGTAATTTTTAGTGCCATGTAAACATCACTAGTAGAAGTAGAATGCACTAACATATATACTTTTACAGGACTTAGCAAAACTCCATGACATTTTCACAGTTTAAAAGATGATGAATTAAGAAAATATGAAAGGTGGCTAGAGTATAGATCCATCAACTATTCTACATCAGCGTAAAAGAAACTAAGCAAATACAAAAATAATATAAATCACACAAATGGAACAATATTAACTAAGTTGGGATTCAAGAATAAAGTCAATAGAAGATTAAATATTCAAAAGGATAAATCAAAATCATACGAAAGGAAAAGTATTCAATACATTGTAGTTTGCTACTCATAATCGCTATAATACCTTGTGTCTTGCTAGTGAACATGTTGGAAATAATTTAGTTTTAATAGGAGTAGCATAATAGGTTTCGGAATTAGGATTTTGAGTTTAATTACTTGTTGTCTTATAACCGTTTCATAATTCCAAGGCCCAAGAAAAAATTTAATGCTTTATTATTTTAAAACTTAATATATAAATATATTGTTCACATTATAAATTTATTCGGTACGGTTCATTATTTTTTCGATTTATTTTCATAAAATATAAAACCTACCCTAGTTATCAGTGTGGTTATAGATTTATATAAAAACCTATGATTTTATTAAAAGAAACCAAAATTTTGGTTCGATATGGTACAGTTCGATCGATTTAGTCAGTTTTTAAATATCCATTGACACCTCTAATCAAGACCATACATTTGTTGGAATTTGGCGGAGCCTAGAATTCAAATAAGGGGATTTAAAAAAAATATGCCAAAGAAATTCAATAACTTATATACAAGAATTTTTTTTATATAATATAATTTTTCGAAGAGGAGGGTTCAATCTTTCTGCCTCCGCCCCTGCTTAATCATATTCGAACCTTTGAGAATTTTAAAAAAACTTTTGACAAGGGGTGATTTTTTTCTTCTTAATGAACACTACTCAATGCAAATCCTGATTGATTGGACAAGTAAATTTTAGATACTGAATGGTTAAAGTTTTAAAAAAAAAAGGTGGATAGGAGTGGCTCTTGTAGGGTGGACCGTTTACCCAATATAGTCCCCTTTTTCTGTCCTCCCAACTTTGGTTCCACGTGTCCCCTTCTTTGATGGCCACGTGACTAAACATATTTTATCCAATACAGATAGTCCTCCTGCTTTTCGGTGACATAACTTTGTGTTACCGGAAAGTTGGTAAAAATACTCTTTTGGCGGGAATTACTATAATCCCTTTTGAAGGTTACTGGCGGTTGATTAGATGCCTGTCTCTCCGCATTTAATACCCCGAACACGTGTCTTCCTATGATTTAGCATGCCTTTTTCCGGTTATCGAGGTAATCTTGGCCAAGTATTTAGTCGCTCAAAAATCCACCTATACGTATCAACTTCCCCTTCCTTCGGGTCTCAAAATTGCTTGAACTTCCGATTTGCATCCTTATTCTTCATCCCTTCTCTAATTTTCTTCAAACACAAAATCCTTTCTTCCACTTTTCAAATGGCATCTTCATCTAAATTGTAACGACTCGGCCAGTCGTTCTAATTATTATAACCCCGTTTCCCTATTTACTGTACAATTTATGTCTTGCAATTGATTTATGACTTATCGGGTTAGTTGGTTCGGGTCCGAAAGGAACTCAGAGTGAAATGAGACACTTAGTCTCATAATTTAAAAATTTACGTTAGAAAGTGGACTAAACGACCTCGAATTTGAATTCTGTTGGTTTCGTTAGCTCCGTTAGGTGATTTTGGACTTAGGAATGTGTCCGAAATATGATTTGGAGGTCCGTGATAGAATTAGGCTTGAATTGCTGAGATTGAAAATTTGGCGATTTTGGTCGGCAGTGAAAAATTTGATATCGGGGTCGGAATGAAATTTTGAAAGTTAGAGTAGGTTCGTAGTGTCATTTGTGATGTGTGTGCAAAATTTGAGGTCTTTCGGACGTGGTTTGGTTGGTTTCGGCATCGGTTGCCGAATTTAAAAATTTAAAAGTTCTTAGGCTTGAATCCGAGGGTAATTTAATGATTTGATATTATTTTGAGTGATTCGAAGGTTCGACTAAATTGGTATATTGATATATGACTTGTTGGTATTTTTGGTTGAGGTCCCGAGGGGCTTGGGATGATTTCAGATGGGTATCGGGGAGTTTGGAAGTTGGAAAATACAGCTGGAAGCTCCTGGTGTGGCCGCACCTGCGGATGGTGAGCCGCAGGTGCGATGATCGCAGATGCGGATGGCATGTCGCGGATGCGNGAGGCCTGGCATTGAGCGCAGGTGCGGAAGAGAGGATCGCACCTGCGAGCCCGCAGGTGTGAAGGGGCAGCCGCAGGTGCGAAGCTTGGCGTCTAAGTGACTTTCGCAGATGCGCACTTGGGACCGCAGATGCGAGTCCGCAGGTGCGAGAAAGGGTCCGCAGGTGCGGAATCCCTGGGGCAAATCCTATATATCACATTTCGCGAATTGTGGTGCATTCTTCACCATTTCTATCCGGTTTTGGAGCTTTTGGGAGAGATTTGAAGAGGGAATCAAGGGGGTTTCATTGAGGTAAGTTACTTGAGCCCTAATACTTGTATATATGGTAATTTTCCGTTGTTTAATCATGGTAATTAGTGAAAATGAAGGGTTAGGGCTTGGAACTTTTGGAGAGTAATTTAAGGATTTGAAGGACCAAATGATGTCGGATTTTGATAAATTTAGTATGGTTAGACTCGGGAGAGGTTAAGGTTTATTATTCTGCTATTTTTGACTGATTTCGAGACGTGGGCCCGGGGGTCAGGTTTTGGTCGGTTTCGGATTTTTGGCATAATTTGATAGTTTTTCTTGTGGAATTCATTCCATTAGCATATGTTGATGGTATTGTACTGATTATGGTTAGATTTGGAGATTTTGGAAACCAAGTCCAGAGACGAGGGCATCCCGGAGTAGGATTTTTACGCTGTTAAGGTAAGTAACAGTTTTAACTCTGGCTTTGAGGGTATAAACCCGGAGATTTGACATCACGTGATTATTTGAAAGTGATACCCATGCTAGGTGACGAGCGTGTGGGTGTGAACCGCGAGGGATTGAGACTTGGTCCGTCCCGTGAGGCTTTGAGGCCTAATGGCTATTATCTGTGGTTATGTGTTTATTTGTTGTTGAACTTGTCTGCCTTCATATT